CTGATTTACAGCAGCTGCTTCATACACTACTGCTGTATAGAGCAAACAATTTGCAAAAACGTTATCTAAACATTCATTAACTGATGTAAGCACAGAAAAATAGTTGCAGAACCAACCCCAGCATTTTTGGCTGTTTGCCATTGCTTGCTGAACGGTCAGCTCTAGATAGCATTGTTAAAATCAAATCAAAGCGGTTGGCTGCAGAATCCGCTGCCGCTGGAATCAAACATAGAACTATGAATCTTGTTTCCCATGATGGCCAAAGATGCCAACTTGCACAGAAAAAGGGAATTATATGGCATGGCAGAATTACTTATGTGCATCTTAGGGGAAGAACTATGACATATTCCAGTGGATCATGGAGTGTGAAAAAAAAGCTGGTATTGGATAGAACACACTCCACGACAGCTAAACAGAGTATAACCAGAAACTTTTGCCTGGAATTCAAAGGGTGAAATAACTAAAAGAGGTCCTAATATACACAGGGAAAAGGATCAGACGGAGATGAACCATTTCAAAGTCAAGGAAGGGATGTAAAAAAAAAAAAAGCAACAGATAACTGGCTTGCTGTGATATGGTCCAAGGACTATTTCCACACAGAATGTTCGCTGTGTAAGTTAATTTTAAAATAAAAAACACCTTTTTATGCCAGCAGCGAATTGGACATGTGATATAAGCCTAATATTTTTTATAGACCAATCGACGGGTGATATTATTAACATCATATCGGTCACCTTTACCTCCCAGGACATTACCTGTTATCAACTTTAAGCTTGGCTGGCCTGGGAGCCAAGGCCAATATTTACAAAATCTGATTCACAGAGGATTTCAGCCCATAATATTTGAACCGGTGGGTGATCACCTAGCGACTATCAGGGCTCCCGCTTTTAATGTAGATGGGCGCTCTTTCCCTGACAAAAGCATCAACATCTGTTAGCAATGCTAAAAATAACTACAACAAAATAACACAGATGGTGAGGCCACCTCATTCTCCACTTCCAGTTGGATGAAACGTTCCTGAACAGTCAAGGCTAGCTCCAGCTGTTTCCTCAGGCTTCGGACTTCCTCCTCAAGGAGAAGCGTATTCTGTTCATTGTAGCTGAAAGTAATCAATCAACTAGAAATACACATAGTGCCCAGAGAGGAGCTGAAGACAGACGGTGTAATAGGAGATGGGTGGGAGATGTTTGTGTGGGGAAAAGAAAGACATGTAAATGTTGACAGATGAATTATAAATGTAGATGTTGGGCGAATAAGTTGGGTTCAACTGAGTTGAGTCCAGAATTGACATCATAGCACTCGGGGCATTCCCATATGTGCTCCGTTCTCATAAGCAGGCAGTGCAGAGTTTCAATACTGATGGTACTGGTAACAATCTGGTTATATATCCGTCTTGCCCTTCCTCTGAGTGTAGTGAGCTGACCAGACCCTCTGGTTACACCCAGGTGCCTCATTCTCTCCAGGCCATAATAATCTTTGTTTGTTGGGCGAAAAAATGACATATAAATGTGACATGTTTATGTTGGGTGAAGGGTGCGACATAAATGTAAGGAGAAGGGTGAGATGTTAATGTTGGAGAAATGCTGGAAGAATGATGAGATAAATGTTGGGAGAATGGAGAGAATTGTAAATTCTGACAACTGCTTATGTGGAGAGAAAGATAAGAAATTTATTCGCTGAAAGATGTAGATGTTGAGAGAAATCTGATAAATGTATGAGAAATGTAGATGATGGAAGAAATCAGAAATGTGAACGATGGGGAATGCAGCAGAAATTACAAAGTGGCTAATGAGAGTTTAATGCCATCATTTATGAATAAAAAAATAAAAAATTGGACATTATCAAATGATGAAGCTATTACTGGATGATACAGAGATAACAAGAAAAGATAGCAGAAAGAGTCTTTCATGCTGAAAGAGTTAAGAATGCAAGATGTATAAGGAAAAGAATAAAGTTAAAGTAATCATAATGATGGACTTAAATGCACTAGGCTATATGTCTGTCTCTCTCCACAGGACAGCTGCCGCCTGTCAAGGGTGTTGCACAAAGCGTTTAATCTGTAGCTCCAGCGATAAAAAGCAGGGATCTCCATAAAATTTGCACTTGTGAACGAAATAACTGGCATCTTCTTCTTCTTCCCATTCACCAGCTGTAAACTCTGTGGAAAGTTCTGGTTGTTAGTCCACCGTCTCGACTTTAGCCCTGTTCCAGAACCTGAGTTCCATTTTCTGTTTTACAGATCTGACTCATTTGTGAGCAGACCGTTGGTTCCTTTGCACTCCGACTTCAAAAGTAGGTCCCAATTAGTTGGCTCTTAACAATGTGCTTTTGGGGAAGCAGTGCGTCTATACTTGTTTTCCCCACAATGGTTCACAGGAACCCACATGGGAAGGCCCGTAAGGTAAACCCACAACTTTCTGAGCGCTTGGCAATCAGCTTGACCAATCTGACACAGATCCCCAGAGGAAAAGACTCACAGATGGAGGAATTATAACATTGTCCGAGACAAAAACAAATGGAAAAAAAAATGTAAATTACCGCAGCTGTTCATTATCCAGGCGTAGTTTCTCCAGTTCACTTTTCATACTTGGTACCAAATCTAGGTCACTCTTAAAAGCTCTTGTAATCACCACATTGTCCTCATACTCTGTAAAAGTTTTCTCCAACTCCTAAATGTGTTTATTTTTCCAAAATTTGAAGGGAAAACAAATCTGGTCAATTAAAAGGTTTCAAGTCAAGAAGATTTACTTTACTGCGCTTTAACCTCCATAAGGTTCAGTTTCTCTCTGCAGAGCAGCTACATACTTGCTGAGTGTGTCGCACACAGCATGAACTCTGTAGCTCCAGTGATGATCGTTAGGGATATCTGTAAATATTTCACCAAACAATGCGGTCCGTGAAATGAATTCAAGCCCATGACCTTCAGAGTGTGAGATAAATGGTTTGACCCCTTTAATTTTAATTGTAAAAACAGGCAACATAATGCTGCTTAGATGAGTAACAAAGGCAACATAATGCTGCTTAGATGAGTAACAAAGGCAACATAACACTGTTTAGACAAGTAAAAAGGGCAACATAACAATGTTTAGACAAGTAAGAAAGGCAACATAACACTGTTTAGACAAGTAACAAAGGCAACATAATGCGGTTTAGACAAGTAACAAAGGCAACATAACACTGTTTAGACAAGTAACAATGGCAACATAACACTGTTTAGACAAGTAACAATGGCAACATAACACTGTTTAGACAAGTAACAATGGCAACATAACACTGTTTAGACAAGTAACAAAGGCAACATAACAATGTTTAGACAAGTAACAAAGGCAACATAACAATGTTTAGACAAGTAACAAAGGCAACATAACAATGTTTAGACAAGTAAGAAAGGCAACATAACAATGTTTAGACAAGTAAGAAAGGCAACATAACACTGTTTAGACAAGTGAGAAAGGCAACATAACACTGTTTAGACAAGTAACAAAGGCAACATAACACTGTTTAGACAAGTAACAATGGCAACATAATGCGGTTTAGACAAGTAACAATGGCAACATAATGCAGTTTAGACATGTAACAATGGCAACATAATGCAGTTTAGACATGTAACAATGGCAACATAATGCAGTTTAGACATGTAACAATGGCAACATAATGCAGTTTAGACAAGTAACAATGGCAACATAATGCGGTTTAGACAAGTAACAATGGCAACATAATGCTGACTGGACGAGTATCAAGTACAGATATTTTTTTTTTTTACAGTTTGAACTACAATCAGACCCATGCTTTAGAATGATGATGGACAGGGCAGGTCCCGAGTATGAGCATTAAAGACCGCCTGACTAGTGCAGTTGTCACAAACTGTGCTGGCTGGGGTGGTTATTTTTGTCCCAAAAGTAAAAGCACACATCACCTTTCTGACGACTGAAATGCCGGCCTCCTAAAGTGTTCTAACCATCTGGCCAGTTGCTGCTCGCAGATATATACATACACAGAATGAGTGAGCATAATGCCAAGAAGGCTGACTGCATCATGGTCACACAAAGCAAGACAGTGTATCTATCGCCTACGATCACCAAAGGACATATCCAAACTCAAACCCATAACCACCAGAGTGTGAGGCAAGTACAGTTTACAACAAGCAAGCTCAAGGACATTCAAACCGGCCGACTTGTAAGGCATTGGGTTGTGATTCTCATCTCTCCCTAGATAACATTCTTTTCTGGATTGATGGAAAGGCGGAGAAGAACAATGTTAGGAAGACCAGAAAGAAACATAGCAAACTGCAAATAGCCAGCCAAGAAATTAGAATCATGCTAATCTGTAAATACTATAAGTTTGTATCTTTCCGTCTTTCCCAGATAACAGTGTTTTAAGAATGATCATCATCACAAACCACTTCTGACGTTAAGTATCAAGAAGCTGGCTGCCACCCTACTATTGTCAGGCAAAGAGTGTCTTTAAGGTTGCTGATCCATATTTGTCTCGGCCGTCCTCTTGTTCTTGATCTTCTGATATATGGTGCCTGTGATGGTATGGTGATCTTGCTGCATTCTAACGGGATGGCCAAACTGCTTGACCTGTTGTTTCTCAGTGAATCTAGTACAAGGTGTTGTTCCCATATTCTGTCTGATAGTATCACTGTTCATTTGACCTCGAATGGTTAAGTTGGCAGCATTTTTTTTTTAAATGAATGATTAGACATTATCATTAGGCATAACATCCTATATAATTGAATCATGATGTTCTGATATTAATGATAACCATCTTTTATGGGTAATTAAATGAAATACAACTCATTGGAAGTAAAGGTAGCTGGGGACATGCTGACCACATCACCCACCAAAAGCCAACTGGACTATAAAATATATGTTCAGCCCTATATGCCCAATACACCTGAAGGCACAGAAAAAGGCCCTTTACTTTTTTAATTAAATAAAAAATTTGAGCCAGAGTAAAGAGAGATAAATAATAACAAAAGAATATCATGGCAGATCTTATATGGAAACATCAACAATACAAACCTTGTTCTTGTCTTGTTCTTGCTGAAGAACCGCCTTCAGCTTGTCCAACTCTTGCTGTAGTTCACTGTTTTCTATCTGCAGTTGTTTCCTCAGCTCCAGCTGTGCCTGAGCTTCTGCCAGCTTCATGTGCAAATCTGAAATCTCTCGCGTATGCTCCACCATCTGGGAATGCATTTCTGCTTCTGCCTCCAGCCATGCTGACTTTGCCTTTTGTTATGAGAAAAATCATAACAGACGTGTAGACGTCGACAGACGTATAAAATGCATTTAGCCTAAATATCAGTAGATCACCCATCGGGCTCCCCATGTGGGTTGGCCACATTGTGAGAAAAACCAGAATAGACCCAATACCTCCCCAACGAGCATGTTGTAGGAGTTGACTAATTGGCAGCTTCCTTCAAAGCCAGAGTGCATATACCCAAGCGGCAGGGATCAAACAAAGGAACACAAGTAAGACAATAAAATGGATGTACACACAAAACTCAGGCCCTGGCACAAAGCCAAAACTGACAAACAACCAGGACTTTCCACCAGAGCTTACAGCTGGTCAACAGAGAAGAAGAAGACTTGCTGCACGTCGATTCTCCTATAAATATATACGTCTAGCCCCACATGCCCAAAGACAAGAAAAAATGCTCCTTTACTTTTTACTTTTAAATATTTGTAGAAAATAAAATGTTTTGCCCACATTGGCAGATGTATCCATGTACATGTTCAAAAACCATGAACTCTGAAAGAAAGTATGTTCAACAACTATAAACTCTGACAGAAAGTTCAGGCAGTTTGCCCACATTGACAGATGTACCCTTGTGCATGTTCAACAACTATAAACTCTGACAAAAAGTAGGTTCAAAAACTATAAACTCTGACAGAAAGTTCTGGCTGTTTGCCCACACTAGCAGATGTACCCATGTGCTTTTCAACAACTTTAAACTCTGACAGAAAGTTCTGGCTGTTTGCCCACACTAGCAGATGTACCCATGCACAAGTTCACCAGCTGTACACTCTGGCAGAAAGTTGTGGTTGTTTGTCCATTTCTGGACTTTAGTTTCAGAGCTTGGTTTTGAGTGCACATCTATTTTACAAATCTGGTTTATCTGTTTTCAGACTGTTGGTTCTTTGCCTCTCAAACGGATGCTTTCAGACCTCGAAGGAAACTCTTATCATTCAAGTCTTACAACACGAGTGTTATGGAAGCAGTGGGTGTATTCCCTTTCTTCCCCACTAATGGTTAAAAAAAAGATAAAGTCGGGAGATGTGAACCAGCGTCATTGCACACGGTTATAAACCATAAGTGCTCTGCCGCCAGTACGGACAACTGATAAGAACTGTCCGCCTGTATCGCAGTCCTCACGTAACTCTGTAGCAACAGCGACGTTCCTCAGTTGTCCCCCAGAGTGTCAACTCTAGTACCCATTTCCTAGAGGCTGGGTGAACCCCAGGAACCACCCAGTTTCAAACACCGACCGTAGGCTGCAGCGAGTCGCAGCTGGATTTGAAAGCGAGCCTCTTATCGACTGGGCTAACCCACTAATGGGGTCTCATTTATTGAAAAAGCTGGGATCTGAGCACTTATTGGCTTATCCGCTGTGTGATGAGGATAATCGGTCAATCAACTAATGAACTAATGAGGCTGTAATCCACATGGGGATCAAGATATTTGAATTTCTGATGTCATCAATGTACCTCGACACTGCATGTCTGTATTCTGTCTAAACTAATACCACTGACATATACCACAATATCAAAGTTACAAACTCACACCTTCCACAGACCAACCATACATCTTACCTGCTGTGCACGTTCTGCTAAATCCACTTTCTCCTTGTTAGCCGCCTGCAGCTTCTTGTCCATTTCAAGCTTCTGATGCTGTAACTCAGTCTCCAGTCTCTGCATCTCTTCACGGGAGTTCTTCTCTTTCTCCATAACATAGTGCAATTTTGATTTCAACTCTACAGCTTTGCATGCTTCCCTCTGTAATGAGATAGCCATAAGATGTTAACAATCACATCTGACAATGACTACTCCCTGTGTGGTTTCTGAAGCTCATGGAAAAGGGGGGGGGGGGAGAATATAACTACTACCCCTTAACATAATTACGTATAAGACAACTAATGAACTTTTTAGTGCCATACAAAACAAGGTCATTAGTCAGTCCAAAGACAGTGCACATGTCTGAATCTACTTTTTTCACAGGCATGTTAGGTTTAGGTTTAGACATCCTATCAACATCAGGGCACAAGGTTACACCGGCTCATTAATCTGAATTATTGTTGTTATTGCTTCTGTCCAGTGCAATTGCTTTAAATGCTCTGGACTCAGGCATTGGCTATTTTCAACTAAATGTTAAATGATGAATTAGGAATCAACATCACAGCACTCAGGAAACCCCCATAACAGCTTAATCCCCATCTTCAGCAGCAAGCGAGGGGTTAAAATTCTGATGGTACCAGTAAATGTCTCATTGTATATCCATCTCGCCTTTCCCCTGAGTGTAGAGCATCGGCCAGATCCCCTTGTAACTCCTGGCAGTGCAACTCTCCTTTGACCGTAATTATTTTTCTGTTCCTCGACATTGTTCACTCGCGCCCTAAGGGCCCTCACAAAATCCAGCTTGTCATACATCAGTTCACCAAGTGGTGCAGGACCGGCCAGTCTATCTGCCTGCTCATTTCCCAACACACTGGCATTACCTGGAGAAAATATCCAAAGTAAGCTAACTACCCGGGACCTCTGAAGTGATGCTTGCCACTCTGCATGGAGCATGCCTGCCTCCACCTTTCTCATCATGCTCTGTGAGTCAGTTACAATGACGTCATGTGTGTACCGCTGATTCTCAAGCCAGCGAAAGGCAGCAGTGACTGCCTCCACCTCCATTCTCAAACTAGACGTTGTGATATATGCCAGGCTTTGTTGCACCAAGCGACGTCCAGTCGCCTTCGCTATGAACCCCCATAACTATGTCTGCCACTCAACACAGAGCCATTCAACCAGAACTTCTCAAGGTAAAGAAGTCAAAGCAATTATATGGTCGTGCCAAAACAGTTTCTGCAGAAACTTGATGTGCTGGTGGACTAAAGGAGTAGATACTGCAGCCCAGTTGTAAGTCACAAAATAACATGCTCACCGAAAGGGTGAACGTGGCAGAAACAGAAGATCACCTCAGAGAAAAATGCTGAAAAGGAATCCCAGGCTGTGTAACAGAAGCTGCCTCCCTATAATGTTGAAGGTGAAGGTCTAGGATAGTGCATTAACAACACAACAATGCTTGCTACATTCAAAGTGAAAGAACAATATCCTATTCCATCTACCATCCAACCTTTCTTGCCAAAGTGTCACCAGACATTCTGCAGGCAAAGAAAATTTAAAAAAAAAAAAAAAAAAACTCTGATCCATGTTCAAAATCTCAAACATGAGACAGTATCTGATTGGTTGACGGCTGACAACATTTTAAACAATAATAGAAAAAGATGGGGAAAAAATACATTGCAGACAACCTCCATCGCAGAGATGAAACATGACCAATTTACTGCTGATAACACGTTTTTTTTTTATAACAGAAAATTGAAAAAAAAATTCTGAATACACCTGAAAATTTTAGATAAATCTTCTTCAGTAATACAGGTGATATATTGTATAGTTATTCACAGCTAAATGTAATAACTGCACCTTTCAGCATGAAAATTCTATTGAAGCAAAAACCTTAGTCACATTTGACAATTTAGTGGGACTATTCCACACCCCTCTCCCTTCTCCCAGAACCCACACAGGAAGCGACACTAGTAAAGACTAAACACAAGCAAGCTTACATCTTTTTCTGCTTTCAACTTTACAATCTCTCTGTCATAGTTTATTCTTGCTTCACGAGCCATGACATCCATGGATGAGAGACGCTTCTCCAGCTGCGTTAGGTTGGCTTTGAGTAATATGACATCAGCATCACGTTCTGCAAGCTGCTTTCTTAAATCAGTTTCTTCTGTGGAGAAAAAAAAAATTATATAAACACTGTTAGCAGTTCCCAAACGGGTCTGTGTAAGAGGGCTAGCTAGGAGCTGGCTGAGAAATTCAGACTATGAAAGTTCTTCTTCTTTGTGTTCATCCATTTCTGGACTTTGGTTTAGAAATTAAATTATGACACATGCTGGCAAGGCATCAGCAACCTTTAAAAGCCTGAACAAAATATGGAACTCTAAATTGTAGTTTTAAAACCAAGCTACATATTTTCAATTTTAATGATTTTTTTTTTTGTTTCAACATATGCCAGTGACAGTTGGTGAACTACTAAAGACACGTAATGAAAGTTAAATGCATTTGAAAATAAATGTGAGAGGAAAATGCTGACTATATATACATAACCCCTAACCCGCTAGGGTTGTGGAGGTGTATCGATGAAAGCACTAGAATACAAAATCCACCATCTTTCTCTGTTTTTCGCTTGCTGAACAAGTGCTGTCCATTTTTTTATGTTGTCATTCCACGTCTTCTTTGCATCCTCTTCTTCGACCCCTGCCCAATGTTTCTAGAAGTACGGTCTTTGCAATCGAATCATGTCTTAACACATGCCCAAACCAAGCTAGCTTGTGACATTTCCCTATTGCCAGAAGAGGCTCCTGATGTCCTGCAAATCAGTTTATTTTGCCTCTTCCATATCTGTTAGGTTGAACATAAAATAGGATGAATTCAAGAGGGGTGAAGAAATGAGAGAATCCACTAGTATCAACAGTTATAAGACAGAGAAGATGGTGCTATACTGGACACATCCTGTGAAGAAATGAGTAGAGGACCATCAAACAGGCATTGAAATGGGAAATAAAGAGGTGAGGACATTTAAAAGAAACCCTAAAGCAATTCATGATGAGAGAAATCACAGCTGCTGGGCTGGATTCCATTCATGATATCAAAGACATTGCCAAGAAAAGAACAAAATCAAGGAACAGACTGCCAGACATATGTGACATATAATGACAAAAGAATAATAGAGGAATAGACTGTGAGCCCTATGTGACATTTAATGACATAACAGATAATGAAGAAATAGACTGTCAGCCCTATGCGACATATAATGACATAAGAGATAATAGAGGAATAGACTGTGAGCCCTATGTGACATATGACACAATAGGACAATGGACTTTGAGCCCTATGTGACACAATAGGACAATGGACTTTGAGCCCTATGTGACATATGACACAATAGGACAATGGACTTTGAGCCCTATGTGACACAACATGACAATGGGACAATAGACTTTGAACCCTATGTGACATATAATGACACAACAGGACAATGGGGGAATAGACTGTGAGCCCTATGTGACACATAATGACACAACATGACAATGGGGGAATAGACTGTGAGCCCTATGTGACACAACATGACAATGGAGGAATAGACTCTGAGCCCTATGTGACATATAATGACACAACATGACAATGGGGGAATAGACTGTGAGCCCTATGTGACACAATATGACAATGGACTTTGAGCCCTATGTGACATATAATGACACAACATGACAATGGGGGAATAGACTGTGAGCCCTATGTGACACAACATGACAATGGGGGAATAGACTGTGAGCCCTATGTGACATATAATGACACAACATGACAATGGGGGAATAGACTGTGAGCCCTATGTGACACGTAATGACACAACATGACAATGGGGGAACAGACTGCTAGCCCTATGTGATATGTAATGACACAACATGAGAAAGATTATGACTTTAATGTTAGTTAGTGATTTAGTGGACAGATTATCCTCCCTGCAGTGAGCCATTCAGTCCATAAGTACACAGACCCCCTTCTCAGATGACTACATATCTGATTCACCAATGTTGTGAAACCTGCTTTTCACTCTATTTAAAGGTGTTTTGATCAAGCACTCTAGTTTACAGAAGGACCAGGAAATGGTTCCAGTCTAGTGGAATGTTCTTGCCATCTTTCACAACTGATTTCTGCCTTTTTCATAACCTCTCTCTGACTTTTTTCTTTCAATTTCTGTTCTCTTACAATCTGTTTTTTTTTTTCTTATTACTTTTTTTTGCAAACTTTTCTATCTGATTTCTTAAAGTCTATTTTTTTTGCCCTTTCAATCTTTCCATCAAATTATCTCACATTTTCTAGTCATCTCTGTCCCATCCTTCTTGTTCTCAATGTCTTCAGATGTTACTGGATGTATCAGTACAGGAACTCTTCATTGGCTGCTAAAGATGGGGACAGAAGGCTTATGGGAATATCCTCAATGATCTGACGCCATTCTAAACTTCAGTTCTACTTCCTTCTTGCTTCTCTTACCTTCTATCCATGCATCACACACCACATAAAACTTACCAAAACTGACAGCCATGGCAAAAGATCTCTTACTGCCAGAATTGTTCAAAAGCCTAGGAGCTTTCACTGGCGTCTCGTCAAAGTCTGGCAACAAATTATGTCTTGTATTTCCAAAAGTGATACTATCTTCTTCCTTCAAGAACCTATTATATTTGTCTTTCATTTTTATCAACTCTGTGCTTTCAGAAAAAGAGTCCATTTTGAGTTTCAAAAACCTGCTGCAAAAAGAAAACAATTCAACAATGTTAGACATCATGACCAACAATCTGATGTGGAAGTTAAGGGTAAACCATCACATCTTCTTCTAAACATTGAGCAGCGGCAAACTTTGGTAGAAAGTTCAGACTGTTCGTCCACTTTAGGACTTTGGTCTAGTACAAGAAGTTGAGTTTTGCTTACATATCTATTTTACTGACCTGGCCTAGCTCGTGCAACATATCAGTTTCTCACCACTCGGGCAGATGTACTCCACCTTCTAAAGAAACACATCTAATTTCCATAAGTCTTTTAAGACATGCTTGTTGAGGCAGCAGGTCTATTCTTTATACCCCAAAAAAGGCTGCAGAAACAATAACATAAAATATCTGGAGAAAAAAATCACAAACCTAAATTTCTGATGGAACAACACAGGCGGATCCTAAATTCAAAAGAACAAATCATCCTGCAAATATTTAACAGTAAGGAACATGAGGATGATATTCCCTGATCTCAGTGTAATAAATCGTATACTAAACTTGTTTTTTGTTATTGTCGTCACACTGATATCAGGCAGAATATGTATTTCCCTTGCGCTTTTCGGTGGCTTAAATGATGGTTTTATTGATCTTTCTTTGCAGGTTTCACCTATGTCATCTATCTATCTCTTTCTTAGTCTTCTTGTCAACTTCCACAAAGCTGTTCTGCTGTAGGTCTTAAATAGTTTGGCCTGGCTACATTCTCGCTAGTCCGTTAAACCACTTGATTCTCTGTTTCAATGTAATTTAGGCACAGTCCTGTGCCTAGCTTCTCTCTCGGGCTGGCTTTTGTGACCCTGTCCCTTCCTGTGTAGCTGGTGACCTTTCGGAGGTGCTCACTTTCTGCTCCTAACCTTCTCAGATAAGGGACGACCAGATATGAAGTGTCCAGAGTGCAATGAATATAACCCAACTCCTAACTCATGTATGTGCAAATGGCCCTCACTGAAATATCACAGATGTTGGAAATAAAACAAAGAGCAGTTTAAACAGGCAGCAACAGAAGCCTCCTCACAAAAGCAACACTGACAGTACACATAGTTCTGGTATACACAAACTGGGATCCTCATCCCTTGCTAAATTAATTCTTTTTCTTCATCTGCAGTTGTCCTTAAAAAGGCAATTGCTATGTTGTGTTGTCGCAAACAGCAAGAGTGTTATATCAGCACCTTTTAACCTAATGCATCTGATTTCAGCAAAGTATTCTTCTTCTTCTTTTTGTTCACCGGCTGTTAACTCCAGTGGAAAGTTCTGGTTGTACCTCCACTTCTGGACTTTAATCCAGTTCCAGAACTTGAGCTTTATGTGCATATGTTTTACAGATCTAGTCTATTAACTCTTTGAGTCCCAGGGGGTTTAGCATCAGAGGCCCAAGGGTTAGTCAAAAGAGATGTAAAATCGGCACATATTGCGTTCATTGGGTCTCTATGAAAGTATGATGCGTTCCTTGGGACTCAAAGAGTTAAGGTATTATTTAGTCACCTTTTATGACAGACCTGTCAGGTAGCAGTGTGTCTTCCCCCCCCCCCCCCCATAAACTGGGGCCCTGGAATCTAGACAAGCAGTCAACACAATTTGTGTACAGTGTTCAGATCCTCTTTGCAGGATCTTTACAAAAGAATTACAGCAATAATTGTGGTATCTCTGGGTTTTCCTTCATCTTCTAATTTTTATGTGTGCAAAACTGCGCTAAGACTGGCGAACAACTGATTACATTCAGAATGATGTGTACATAGGCAGTACTGTGTTTACGAATGGTAACTTTCATGGATTAGTTGCCTGAATCCTCAGTGAGCTGCAATACTGGTGGCAGACTGTTAGGACTGGCACATCTGATGGCTGCCTTATGAATTTACTTTGCATGTGCAACTTACTTTTGGTCAAATGCAACGGACAGGCCATCTGGCCTTGATGCTTTGACAAGTTATGTGTTTCTAGCTGCATTATGCTTTATTTTCGACACTACAGGACTAGGAGTTCAAAGGTTCCCTTGCCCAGCTTATGAGCTAAGTGCTTGGTATGACACTGTGAGCCGTAGATTTCACACTTTTTTTCCCATTGTGCCCACAGTGGTTGTGTGTTGTGAACTACCCAGAGAAAAAGACAGGTGGTCGATTACGTTCAGAATGGCATGTATTTATGCAGTATTGTGTGTGCAAATTCCAGCTTTGATGATAGTCTGCATCAACAGTGAGCTGCAATTCTGGTGGGAGGCTGTTAGTGTTGGCACACCTTACCCATGCTTTATAAAAAAGAACAATATAATATTTGAGACTAGGAAGACACACTCACAATGAATGAATAACAGAATATGACAAAGCAAGATACCCTTACAATGAATGAACAACAGAACTTGACAAAAGAAGATACCCTCACAATGAATGAACAGAACAAATCTTTTTCTTCTTAAAGTCAATGGCGTGTGGTGTTGGGAGTTATGTTATGCATAACACTAACCATAACGCTAACCCAAACCCTACACCTAACCTAAACCCTACCCCAAACCCTAACCATATGATGACAGCAGGTCACTGCACGCTGTCTATCGCCAACACACAGTAATTATGTCATTTGATTCGTGCCTTCTCCAGTCCGTAATTGCACTGCAGCCAAGGGACAGAACTCCGACTAACCGGCCGTCAAATGTTGTCTACTGGCCGTAGTTTACAGGAGAGCCGGATTCTCTTGCTTGTCTCAACTGACAAAGAAAAATTAATTCAGGAACTGAAAATAAATTAGTATAGGCAGATACCTTCACAATAAATTTAAAAATGGATCAAAGAGAGAAAAAATGCATTAATTCTTCAAAAATACGAAGCTGAAGACACCCTCACAGCAACATCTAGAAAAAAAAAAACAGAATACCAATACCAATATCAATAAGCGGGAACCGGGAGACAAGTTTTAAAAACACTGCAGCGAACAAAATTAAAATTGCCTGGTAGTTCAATTCCCCCTAGCGCTCTTAACTTAAATATTATTTTACTACATGTTAATTTACTAGTTACTGGCTAGTGAAACTGAAAGCCTGCGTAATTTATCATAACAATTTAAATTGACAATAAATAATTCTTATTCTTTGAAAAAAAAAATTGAATGAATGAATGGTTCGTGAACTGCCAGGCTTGATTTTTACTGTGGAAACCAATTATAAAGAAAAGATGAGTACGCGCTCCATTTACGAGCGCCGAGTGTTATTAATAATAAGGATAAATGTTGACGATAACCATGTTTCTTACCAATGTTTCTCTTCAATATGTTCCGTATTTGGGCGACAGGATTCAGGCAGACATTATTCGTCTGATCCGACAATACTTAGGTTCGGTTACTTTGTGCTGCTTTGTTGTGTCATCATCATGTGCCTTGCCGACATGCATCCATGATTATGGCTCAACGTCTCACACGATGACCTTTCTTTGCATTTCTGACAAACACAAGTACGCTAGAACCTAGGCGCTCAGGCACATTGAGCTACTACTACTACTACTACTACTACTACTACTACTACTACTACTACTACTACTACTACTACTACTACTACTACTACTACTACTACTACTACTACTACTACTACTACTACTACACACACACACACACATATATATATATATATATATATATATAAACACACATTTTAACGGAAGCTATGCGTACTCTCCCCCCCCCTCCCCCACACCCCTCCATCCTCCATCCAACTACATTTTAGGGGAAATGATCCTTACGGGTGCTCAGGGAGTGTGAGAACCCACCAACAATGTAAAAGACCCTTATCCCGCCTTCAAACGCATTGGGCATATAGGATTAGACCTATATTTTATAGACGATTATAGACCAATCGGCTTTCGGTGCCGATCTGATGGCAGCCTTTACAATGCTCGCAGGCTGAAGACAAAAACCAGGATAAGAAAGGTACTTATCAGAGAGCTGCTGTTTGCAGATGATGCTGCAATAACCACCCACTCAGAGGAGGAGCTGCAATATTTAGTATCTGCCTTGCTGATGCATGTGTGAATTTGGACTAACAGTCAGCAAAAAGAAGACAAAGGTTATGGTGCATGTTGTTAATGACAGTCCTGCAGTCTATATTGACGGTGAAGAGATTGAGACAGTAGACCATTTTACATATCTAGGCTCTACAGTGAATAGTAAACTATCGCTGGGCCAAGAAATCAACATCAGGATATGTAAGGCAGCAGCAACAATGAGCAGATTTACAAAGAGAGTTTGGGAGAACAGAAAGCTCACAATTAAAACAAAAACCCTTTTCTATTAGGCTTGTGTTCTCATCACTCTGCTTTATGGCAGTAAAACTTAATCAACCTATTTGCACCAGGAGAGACGGTTAAATAGCTTTCACATGCGATGCCTAAGAATAATACTTGGCATTAAGTGGCAGGATAAAATCACAAACACTGAGGTACTGGAAAGAGCAGGCACTACAACAGTCTTTTCCATGCTCAGTCCACAAAGGCTCAGGTGGCTGGGTCACACCTGGAGAATGGAGGATGGCAGAGTCCCTAAGGACATCCTTTATGGTCAATTAAAGACAGGAAGAATATGTCGAGGCCGACCCCTACTACGTTAAAAAGATGTGTACAAGATGGACATGAATGATACAGGTACTGAGGTGGACTCATGGGAACAAAATGCCATGGACCGTATTGTGTGGAAAGGGCATATCAGAAAGGGAATGAGAATGAAGGAAGAATTGATTGCAGAAAGGATGAGAGCTGAGCGTCTGAAAAGAAACGGATTAAACACAAATGCTGACAACAATGATCCTGAAATCCCATGCTATCATCGTGGAAGACTTTTCTTGACACGGACGGGTCTTGCTAGTCACACTCGCCAACGCCATGGGCTGTGAGTCCCATGCCTCCTCATAGCGCAGCATAACACTATGGTCTGGAAAGACAGAAAGGTGCCAATCAATCCAATAGACCAATCCGCTTTCGGTGGATGATGCAATCAACATCACGCAGGCCGCTTTGACTTCACATGACTTTACCCGGTGCCCATTTTAGGCTGGATAATTTTTGAAACAAAAGTCCGGCTCTGTAAACGACCTGAACACACGATCTTCGGATCCACAGACTAACTTCTAGTCGCTACACCGCGGTGGCTCCCGCGTATTATATCTTGCAGTAGTTTTATTGTTATCTTTATTGTACATAGAGATCGGTATGGGAACCTGGGCACACAGAGCTCCCATACACAAATTTGTAAGGGGTTAAGGCCCTCTATCCCCTCCAATAATCCCTGGGTAGAGTGAACCCCACTCCCTAGACAAAGTGGATTGGCGGTTAAGTGGACCCTCTAGCCATCTACGCATTTTTAAGTATCGTTTATACGCGCCCCCCCCCCCTAAAATTGATAATTATTTGTCAGACAGAACGTTATCATTATTGCACACTCAAATAAGACTGAACCCCATTAAGCTCCACACCTGGAAATATATAAGGTGACTGAGCGCCCCCATCCCCTCCCTCCCACCACAAAAGTTGTTTGTGGCCATGCGCCTGCATAGAGACAAACACGGGTAATGAAGATGTCTTGACTGAATTCACTCATAACCAAACTGACTGCACCAGAAGAAGATAATCCTCGTGTATTTGCTTGTTCTGACTACACAGAAAATGGTCCTCATGTATGTGCTTGTTCTGACTACACAGAAAATGGTCCTCGTGTATGTGCTTGTTCTGACTACACAGAAAATGGTCCTCGTGTATGTGCTTGTTCTGACTACACAGAAGATAATCCTCATGTATGTGTTTGTTCTGACTACACAGAAACTGGTCCTCATGTATGTGTTTGTTCTGACTACACAGAAGATGGTCCTCGTGTATGTGTTTGTTCTGACTACACAGTAGATGGTCTTCGTGTATACGCTTGTTCTGACTATACAGATGATGGTTCTCAGGTATGCGCTTGTTCTGACTATACAGATGATGGCCCTCATGTATGTGCTTGTTCTGACAACATAGCCCAGATCAAATCCAGACATTAGACAATTTGGGTGAAAAGTTGCAAACGAGCACAGATCAGTTTGGGAGAAAGGAAATTAGAGACAGATAACGAAAGAATATGGTCGGAGATTTGTCATCTTGAAAAGAAAGAACCTTTGGTGCAGAAACAGTTGGTAATGATGGAGGCCGAAGGTGCACAAACAGTTGGTAATGATGGAGGCCGAAGGTGCAGAAACAGTTGGTAATGATGGAGGCCGAAGGTGCAGAAACAGTTGGTAATGATGGAGGCCGAAGGTGCAGAAACAGTTGGTAATGATGGAGGCCGAAGGTGCAGAAACAGTTGGTTATGATGGAGGCCGAAGGTGCAGAAACAGTTGGTAATGATGGAGGCCGAAGGTGCAGAAACAGTTGGTAATGATGGAGGCCGAAGGAAGTGGCCAGACTCGTCGACCAATGCTACACGGCAGGAATTCAAGGAAGCTGAGGATACGAGGAGGAAGAAAAGATAATGTAAATTATGATGATCTGATGATGATAAAGAAGAAGAAGAAGAAGAAGAAGAAGAAGAAGAAGAAGAAGAAGAAGAAGAAGAAGAAGAAGAAGAAGAAGAAGAAGAAGAAGAAGAAGAAGAAGAAGAAGAAGAAGAAGTAGCGATACAAAATGAAGAAAATGAAGATGAAGACAAAGAAGAAAAAGAAGGAAAAAAAGATGCTGAGAGAGGAGAAGAAGAAGGGGGAGAAGAAGGATAAGAAGAAAGAGGAGAAAAAATGTGTTATTTTCTTCCGTTGTTCATTTCCATTCTTACCGAATATTACACATCAATATATCTCTCGCTAGCGTTGTCCGCCAGCTGTGCTGTGATCGCTATGTCCCAATTCTTCGGTGCTTGTTGATGCGCTAAGATCAATATAAACCATTATTATTCTTGACTTCAGACTGGATTGTTTTATTATTCCGGTGCAGTCACGTTCACCATAAATAAATGCCCTCCGACGGATAACCATCTACAGAAACCAGCTCTAATCATATGTGAAGCGATAAATGGTCACAGATGTTGTGAATATTCTTCATCCTCCCTCTCTTCCTCATCTCCGTGATACGTGGGGTAGTTAGTCCCCTGTCCCCCACATACTATCATGTTCCATGGCGTAGTTAATTGTATACTGGATAAATACGGTAAACCCTCTTTTTAATGACATTTTATTAAAATCAGATTATCATCCGTACCCACATAGGACTGCAGACTGACCAGACTGGTGCAGCTAATTAAAAAAAAAATTATATTTGTCCCAATATGGGAGGCATTTTTTTTAAAAAAGCCCCACCCATACGGTTGTCAGGGACTTTATAATATAACCAAAGGTTGAACGTGGTTTCTGGAACGTGCCCCTATGATTCTCATCCGAATGGTGGCATATTGTGTCATCAGCTGTTTGTCTTGACTTTTCCTTCAGTTAAGCATATCTTGCATTAACTCTTCATACGTGCATAGGTTCCGGTCTAGAAGCCTAGTAAAAGAAAGGTGCGCCAATTATACGTCTTTTTTGACAACCCATTGGGCCTCTGATGCTAAACCCCATGGGACTCAGATAGTTAAATCTGGACAAAATATTTGATGTGTCTATTTGATTATTCTTTATTTTTGACAACTTCTGTGTTTATTCTCTCCTTTTATTAACAACCCAAAGAATTAAATACAAAGATTCGGAACAAATTGGCAATGAAGAAAGAGTTTCTGAAAGAAATAAAACAGAGAACTAACTGCATGTGTGTGCATTATTCAAGTTGTATTAGTGAACTAAGGATGTTTTTAATATCTCGGTGGTCGTTATTCTGTCGGACGTTCAGCGGAATATTGTTTTATGCCACTGGGTATAATGCCTTTGCGCAAATGTAATATTTGTACCATTCTGAAACAATGTGATGAGCTAAAATGTGACAGATAGAAGTTATATATTTAGGCTCCATTAGAACACAGCGCCGATTGTAGGGGAACAAGAGTTGACCCACTGCCTCCCAAACGAGCATGGCGTAGGGGTCGACTAATTGGTGACTTCCTTTGAAGTGGGAGCGCATCTGCTCGAGGGGCAAGGAACAACCAACTGCGAAAAAATATGCCAGTAAAACGGATGTACACACAAAACTCAGCCCCTCGCACAAAGTCAAAGTCTAAATAGACGAACAACCAGGACTTTCCGTCCAAGCTTATAATCAGTGAATAAAGAAGAAGAAGAAGAAGAAGAAGAAGAAGAAGAAGAAGAAGAAGAAGAAGAAGAAGAAGAAGAAGAAGAAGAAGAAGAAGGAGGAGGAGGAGGAGGAGGAGAAGAAACTCGAGTAGATGAGTATTAGTTACGTTGGTTTGGACATTCATGTATGCAGAATGAGAGAGAAACGCCCACCACGGATGTGCATACAAAACGCTGGTTTTTGAACAAGATTCAATTTCAGAAATAGACTCACAACAGATCCACCCCCTCCCCCACCAAACCTTTTTTTTTTGTCTTTGCATTTACAGCTGGTGAACGTGCAAAAGAAGAAAGATATGTTGAGCAGCCAGGTTGTAAACCACAATACAACGTGCCAACCCCCCCCCCCCCCCAATTTTTTTTTAAATCGCGATTGCAGCAAAATTAGCAGCAGGAGCAGGAGAAGGAATAACACATAACAGTAATAGTTTGAGAACCCCTGTATCTATAATCAAGCAGTGATTGACTAGAGGTCAAAGTTGACCGGAAACTAATCGTTAGTTAGACGTCGTAGCTAGCAGACGAAACGTTCCTGGGGGACACGCCATTTTATCAGTCTCCTGCTCGGCTGTTGGCTTCTCCTTATTATTGTCTTTATCTGTGCTTCTGCCCTGTGGAATTAGAGCAGAGGAAAGGGCCTCATAATGACAGCGCATGATCAGATTCGAGCTATGCTCGATGAACTAATGGGAACTTCCAGAGATGGTAAACACTCTTTTTGCCTAATCTGTGATGTGTAACTTAAACTTTAATTTAAAGTTACTGTAAGATTTAGACTCTGACTACATTAGTTACTATAACTACTAGTACTAGTGTAGTCAGAGTCTAAATCTTACAGTTTAGTCTATTTAGTTTAGTAAAGTAAAAGACCCTTTCCCACACCTTCTGGAGTATTGGGCATATAGGGCTAGGTTTGAAATTTATAGACCAGTTTGCATTTAGTGCTTGATATGGTTAACATTACGGTGATTACGCCAGCCGCCTTTACTTCCGAGGACTTTACCTCGTACCCATTTAGAGCTGGGTCTGACCTGGGAGCCAAGGTAGTTTTTTTTTTAAAGTCCGGCTCTATCAGGACCTAAACCTACACCATTCGGATCTTCAAGTCAGTGTCTAGCCGCTACACCATGGTGGCTCACTATTGGGCATAGCGCTAGAACTATATTTACCATATCTTTGAGATCACTCGTCCTTCCCCTGTGGATTCCGAGGCTCCATTATGGGGGAAACAAGAACAGACACACTGCCTACCCAAACAAGCATGTCGTAAGAATCGGCCAATTGAGAGCTTTTTTCGAAGTCGGAGTGCATCTGCCCCAGCAGCAAGGAGCAACCATCTGCACACAATTAAACTAGTAAAATGAATGTACAAAACTCAGACACTGGCTCAAAGTCAAAGTTCGAGTGGATGAACAACCAGGACCTTACAGCTGGTGAATGAAGAAGAAAAAAGATCTATAATTTATAGACCAGTTAGCATTTGGTGGGTGATGTGGTCAACATCACACCGGCTGCTTTTACTTCCCAGGACTTTACCTGGTACCCACTTGAGGCTGAGTTAACCCTGGAGTCAAGGTCAGTTTTTTTGGGGGGGGAAAAAGTTTGGCTCTGTTCAAATTTTAACCCATGACCTTTAGACCCGCAGGCGAGTGTCTAGCCACTACACCACATCGGCTCACTGTATTAACACTCACTTCTGACAACTGTTTCATGAATATGTTGTTGTTGTTGTTGTTATCGATCCAGCGGCGCATGAGCTTTCGCCCTTTGGCCCAATGCCATGTAGTGGAATTTGCATGTTTTCACAAGCTGTTCTTTTCCTCCGTACAAGGTGTTCCACTTGTCTGGTCTCGGAGGAAGTAGCGTTCTTCTTGTCTCACTGAGTTTTGGGCACTCAAAGAGATGGCATTCAACAGTTTCGTAGGGGTAGTTACATAGCTGGCACTCTGGGGAGTGTTGTGGCTGTATTCTGTTTAGGTGTCCATTGAGTGGAGTATGTTGCGTTCTAAGTCTGAAGATGGTGGCCTGGTCCCTTCTTGTTAGATGGTTAATGCTGTCATTAGGATCAGGGCCAGACATATGTCTATAAACCTCTCTTCCAGTGTCTCCCATGGCCCATCTGTTCAACCAAGACTCTTTGTTTATAGCTCTTATCAGTGTTTTTGCTGTCTGGAGGGTTGTCGCTGTAGGTGGTTGTTCTTGTGTTGCTCCTTTCTTTGCCAATCTGTCAGCTCTGTCATTACCTGGTGTGCCGGAGTGACCTGGAATCCACTGCATCACTATTCTGATGTTGTATGAGGAAATAAGCTGATCAGCATCCAGGATTATCTTGGCTATGTCAGTTCTGCAGCGTTCACTGCCCTCCAGAGCTTGAAGGGCAGACATTGAATCTGTGAAGATGACAATATTTTGGACCTTTGAAGGGTAAACATCCATTACAGTCTTTAGGTGGTATACTGCTGTTTCCAGTGCAATTATTTCAGCTTCATAGTTTGAACAGAATGTTTCATGAATATTAATGTGCACTGTCACAAACTTTGACCTCTGGCAATCCTGTTGCTGCTGCTATGGGTTCGCACACAGCACTTAGATACAACTGTTAACATAGACCCAAAACCTTCATCATTTCTACTATGATATAAAGATGTGTGCAAGAGACATGAATGATACAGGTATTGAGGCGCACTCGGAACAAAAGGTCTGGACCGTGTTGTTTGGAGGGGGCACATCAGAAAGGGAATGAGAATGAAGGAAGAATTGATTGCAAAAAAAGATGAGAGCCGAGCATCTGAGAAGAAACAGACTAACCACAAATGTTGGCAACGACGGTCCTGAAATCTCAAGTTATAATTGTGGAAGACTATTCTTGACATGGGCAGGCCTTGCTAGTCACACTCGCCCTCGCCATGGGCTGTGGGTCCTATGCCTTCTCATAGCGCAATATGACACTGTCGTCTAGAAAGATGAAAAGATGCCAGTCAAAACCTTCATGGCATGGATAGGACCTGTCAAAAAGTATGTATTCCTACGGTGTGTGTTTAGGCTTATGGGCCACAGTGTTTGAGAGCAACTAGGTCAGCATTCTGGCAGATATCACATTTATGGAGAAGGCAGAGAGAACTTTGTGTAGATGGGCGGGTGGGGGGTGAGGGGAGAGCACTGTAAATCTGTGAGACTACGATGTGTGAATGGGAGAAGATGGAAGAGCATCATGTTCATCTGTCATTTTCAGTAAATTTTCATTCATACACTGCAGCTGTTCATTCACACTACATTGCAGCTGTTCATTCACACTGGTAAACAGCCACAATGGTGGTATGCTTTTTCGTCCGTTGAGGCGAATGGCGCAAATTTGCTATTTTTGCTCACGTATAATGTGAAAGTTTCATCGGAATGGGGTCTGAACCGTGCAATGGTGTACATGCACGTGAGTTCAGACTTTCCTCAGGGTGTATTCGACATCCGATGGCGACTATTTACCCATTCAATCAACGCCGACCCATTTTCGAGAAGCTTCTTTACAGCAATGACATCGTTGTCCTACAGGAAACACACCTCGATGACGAGATCGTTAAAATTGCGGGCTTCCAATCCTTCTACAATAGATGGCACCTCGGACAGCTCATTCTTGTTCGTGACAACATACCGGTGTCTGAGGTGGACATGTCTGAGTGGAATAATGATGACTTACAAGTACACTCAGTCAGAGTGTTGGGCCCGGCCCAGTTTGTGATTGTCAATGTCTATGCCTGCAATGGAAAGGTGGATACAGCGAAATGGCAGAGTTTGTTGCTCCAGACAGAGGAAAAGAAAGTCCTTTACTGCGGAGATTTCAACGCCAGAGAAAACCAGTGGGGCAATGTAATCACTAATAAACAGGGAGAAGACCTGGAGGATGCCCTAGTGTCTGTCGATCTAGTATGCTTGAACGATGGAAAGGTTACATGAATGGCAACCCAACAAGGGGATTCTGACAGCGTAACTGACCTGGCCCTAGTGTCTCCCTCCATTGCATCAGGATGCAGGTGGAGCGCACTGGGCTACCATGACAGTGATCACTTTCCTTGCGTCGTCCTGGTGGAGAAGAGCAACAACAAAGGTCATGTAATCAATGTGCCTGCTTTTATATATGACCGTACAGGGCAAGAGGCCATTAGCAAAATCAGACAGAGTAAAACAAGAGCAGATCGCAGATGGTGGGAGAGATGGACCCAGCCACCATGGTGGAAAGAAGTAGTCAACATGGTGTGGCTATAAAAAAGGAAAGCTGTCAAGGCATGGCAAAAGGCAAGGAAAACTGATCCGTCACTTTCTGAATGCCTGATCAGTCTGAAAGATGAGGTCAACAAGCAGACAGTGGCTTTCAAGTTAATTGTGAAGGAAGCCAAGACAGCAAAATGGAACAAATTCTGCAAGAGCGTTTGCTCCGAGAGATCTGGTGCCTTCAACGGAGCATGCACGGCACCGCACCACCAAGGGGAATCCCTGATTTTCAGGGTACAGACCTGATATGGCAGAGAACTGATGCTGATAAAGGAAGAACCCTTCTTGCACGCTACTTGGAGCAAAGTGACCAGAAAGACGAAGCTGCAAGAATAGGGGTTAAGATGAAACTGTCAATGCTGTGCGAGAACACTGTGCTAGGCACTGATTTTACAATCACTGCAGATACCTTAAGAACTTGCCTCAAGAAATCGCGCAGCACTGCTCCAGGCCCTGACGGCATCCAATACAATGACATGCTGATGATGTCGAATGCTGATTTGAAAAGCATGGCAAAGGAATTCAATATCAGCATCCAGAGAGGCCAGATACAAGAGGAATGGTTTCATAATTATTTGTTCCCAATAACAAAGCCAAATAAAGACCACTCAAAGATCTGCGGCTTCAGAATCATCTCGATGCAGAATACTGTTGGCAAACTTTTGGAGAAAATTGTTGCACAAAGATTGACCACCTACTTGGAACTACTTGATAAGTTCCCACCAACACTTGGAGGGTACAGGTTGAATAAAGAGACATGGTTCAATGCTGCAGTTTTCGCCTACAATGTTTACGAGGGATTTCAGATTAAAGAAGAGACATGTGCGGCAGTGTTGGACTTAAAAGATGCCTATAATAAAGTACCATATGAATATTTAATGCAATTACTGCTTAAACTAGAAGTAAATCCTATTCTGATCCGCTGGATTGCTGCGGTCCTGTTCCAGAGAAAGATAGTACTAAGATGTGGTAGCTGGTCCTCAGAACCACAAACGATATGTCCAGGCTTACCACAGCGATCACCGCTATCACCAGTCTTATTCTACGTGTATACAGTGATGATCTCTGAGCAGCAGTTGAATGGAAAGGGAAGGACTTTGTCATTTGCTGATGGCATTTTGATTTATCGGCGAGGGCGTGATAGACAGGAGATCGCTAGCACAATGCACAAAGAACTCGATCGAATTGCCGCCTGGTGTGATGATTCCAATGCCTATGTCAATCCTTCGAAGGCATCAGTGTCATGTTTCTCTTTGAACAATCACATTGTCAAGTCGGACTTACCAGAAGTGAAAATGCATGATAATGTATTGATCAGAACCAACGTTATCACGTTTCTCGGGGTGAGATTGGATCGCAGCTTGTCATTCAGGAAACACGTTGACCATGTGATAACAAAAGCACGCAAAGGTCTATCTGCAATGAGGATTATGGCTGCTTCTAATATCGAGCAAAGACTACTAATACTTGTATTCTACGGTCTGGTCTTTCCCCCCATTGAATACGCTCTGGCCATCCTCACTGTCAGTGCTACCCAGATTAAACAACTCGAAAAGGTGCAAAATGAAGCCATGCGCATTATTTTGGGATGTACAAGAGACACATCCTGTGGAGCAATGAGGTATCAACTTGACTTACCAACAATGAACCAAAGGATCAGGATGTGGAGGGCTCGAGCATACCTAAAAATATGTGCTGATAAGAAACATCCACTGCATCAAGCGCTTTTTAGTGAAAAGGGTGACAGACTGAAGAGGGGAAAATCGTAGCTGGGTCGGGCAGAAGATGTTGTTAGGCAAATATGCAGCCTAACCGACATCATACCTGGTGCAGAGTGGATACCTGTGCCTCATGCGTTTATTTGTACATTTTCCTGTATTGTCACACTCAACAGGCAATGTAGAGAAGAGAATCCTGTTGCTGTTAATGCAGTGGTCAACGCTCTCATCAGTGAAAATTCAGATGCACTAATCTACACAGACAGATCCGTTATACGCCAAAAAAGAATCTCATGGGCATTCACAGCACACTCAGCGGGCAGAACAGTCAAAGAAGCCAACAGGGCCTTCTCCATGACAACCAGCAACATGACGATGGAGGTGATGGCAGTGACGCAAGCGTTTGCCTGCCTTGAAACACAAAAATACACCCGCGTATGTATACTCAGTGATTCAATGAGTATGATCCGGAGGGTTCACGCAGGTTCTGTGCGAAGTCAATGGCTTGAATCATTACAGAAGTCCACTGTGCGTGGAGTCACCTTTATTTTTGTTCCGGGATACGCAGGCGTCGATGGAAATGAAAGAGCTGACAGGTTGGCTGGATCTGCTATCACTACCGACGGTCAGCCTATGGATCATGCTGATATTATTAATGCCCTGAGAGAATGGGAAGGATAGAGGACTTTGGTGGCAGTGAATCCACATCACTCGCCAGAATGGCAGACTTGTGAATTAAGATCGGCATAGCAAAAATCGAGATGCACACCAGACACGCCAGAAGACTTGTTAATCAACATAGAACTTGTACTATTAGCCATCGGACGTTGGAGTTTTTACTGAGAGGATGATCTGAGCACCTTGGACATGTCCGGAGTGCAATGATGATAACCCAACTAACTAACCAACCAACTAACTAACTAACTAACTAACTAACTAACTAACTAACTAACTAACTAACTAACTAACTAACTAACTAACTAACTAACTAACTAACTAACTAACTAACTAACTAACTAACTAACTAACTAACTAACTAACTAACTAACTAACTAACTAACTAACTAACTAACTAACTAACTAACTAACTAACTAACTAACTAACTAACTAACTAAAACTAACTAACTAACTAACTAACTAACTAACTAACTAACTAACTAACTAACTAACTAACTAACTAACTAACTAACTAACTAACTAACTAACTAACTAACTAACTAACTAACTAACTAACTAACTAACTAACTAACTAACTAACTAACTAACTAACTAACTAACTAACTAACTAACTAACTAACTAACTAACTAATTAACTAACTAACCAACTGTTCATTCACACTACATTGCAGCTGTTCATTCACACATTGCAGCTGTTCATTCACACTACATTGCAGCTGTTCATTCGCACATTGCAGCTGTTCATTCGCACATTGCAGCTGTTGATTAACACATTGCAGCTGTTCATTCACACATTGCAACTGTTCATTAACACATTGCAGCTGTTCCTTCATAGACTGCTGCTGTTTATTAACACATTGCAGCTGTTCCTTCATAGACTGCTGCTGTTCATTAACACATTGCAGCTGTTCGTTCATATACTGCAGCTGTGTTCATTCATACATAACCTACACACACTGCAGCTCCTTATACTGCAGCTCTTCATGCACACACTGCAGCTCTTCATGCACACACTGCAGCTCTTTATGCACATGTGGCAGCTCTTCATGTGCACACTGCAGCTCTACATTCTGACACTCCAACTCTTCATGCACACGCTGCAGCTCTTCATGCACACACTACAGCTCTTCATGCACACACTGCAGCTTTTCATGCACACACTGCAGCTCTTCATGCGCACACTGCAGCTCTTCATGCACACACTGCAGCTCTTCATGCGCACACTGAAGCTCTTCATGCACACACTGCAGCTCTTCATGCGCACACTGCAGCTCTTCATGCACACACTGCAGCTCTTCATGCACACACTGCAGCTCTTCACACACACACACTGCAGCTCTTCACACACACACTGCAGCTCTTCATTCTGACACTCCAACTCTTCATGCACACACTGCAGCTCTTGATGCACACACTGCAGCTCTTCATTCTGACACTCCAACTCTTCATGCTCACACTGCAGCTCTTGATGCACACACTGCAGCTCTTCATGCGCACACTGCAGTTCTTCATGTGCACACTGCAGCTCTTGATGCACACACTGCAGCTCTTCATGCGCACACTGCAGCTCTTTATGCACACACTGCAGCTCTTCATGCACACACTGCAGCTCTTGATGCACACACTGCAGCTCTTCATGCGCACACTGCAGCTCTTGATGCACACACTGCAGCTCTTCATGCGCACACTGCAGCTCTTGATGCACACACTGCAGCTCTTCATGCGCACACTGCAGCTCTTGATGCACACACTGCAGCTCTTCATGCGCACACTGCAGCTCTTCATGCGCACACTGCAGCTCTTCATGCACACACTGCAGCTCTTCATGCACACACTGCAGCTCTTCATGCACACACTGCAGCTCTTCATGCACACACTGCAGCTCTTCATGCACACACTGCAGCTCTTCATGCACACACTGCAGCTCTTCATGCACACACTGCAGCTCTCATGGACACACTGCAGCTCCACACACACAAACTGCAGCTCTTCGTGCACACACTGCAGCTCTTCATGCACACACTGCAGCTCTTCATGCACACACTGCAGCTCTTCACACACAAACTGCAGCTCTTCACACACACAAACTGCAGCTCTTCGTGCACACACTGCAGCTCTTTATGCACACACTGCAGCTCTTCATGCACAGACTGCAGCTCTTTATGCTCACACTGCAGCTCTTTATTCAGACACTCCAACTCTTCTTGCACACACTGTAATTTGTAACTCACACACTGCAAATCTGTCTTTATTAACACACTATAGCTCTTTATTCCCTTTGTCCAAATATGGTTCTGGGGCCTAATTTGGGGGGCAAAAGGGGGGGGGGGGGGGGAATTGCCTTTGTCCTCTTTAAAAAAAAAAAAGCATGTCGTTAAAGTGGACAAAGGAAGCATGTGCTGGAATCAGATATGTCAAACTGTAAACCCCAACAAAACATGTCTTCTGGCCTTTGAAGGGTAAAGAGAGAAAGAAGAAGTCCCCTGTGTGGGCATCCGGGCCCTGTTATAGGGAAAACAAGAATAGGCCCACTGCCTAACCGAAAGTATGTCGTAAGAGTCGACTAATTGGGAGCTTCCTTCGAAGTCGGAGTGCATCTGCCTGAGAGGCAAGGAACCAATAGTCTGCACACAGATGTGTTAGGTCTGTCAAAAGGATGCACACTCAGCACTCAGGTTCTGGAACAGGACTGCATTCCAGAAGTGGATGAACAACCAGAACTTTCTACCAGAGTTTACAGCTGGTGAATGCAAAAAAAGAAGAAAAGAAGAATAGACAATAATTCACCTACTGCAGCTTTTCCTGCATTCAGAGCAGGGTATAAATTAAATTGTTAGTTTAGTGTTGCACACGTGTAGACATGTAATAAAATTATGTGTGTGACCTGTACTGGACCCAAAAGCCAGGTATGTGTTGGTAAACACCTGCTTTGTTACCAAATTTTTGTGCACAACATGTTAACAGTTTTCCCATTTTTTCTCCATGAAATTCTCACTGACCGTAGGCAATGCCGACAAATATCGAGTGAAGTTTGATGACCCTCGGGTATGTAAAAGCTTCCTCCTCGGCTGTTGCCCACATGACATTCTGGCAAACACGGTAAGCAAAGGCAGTCAAGACAACTGACTGGCCAGTTTTTGTACAAACTTTGCCAGGCAATTGTTTTCATTACTTTTTTTTTCTTATTCCTCATTTAGCTTCAAAAATGCTTCTTGGGATCACTTTGGTGTGTCTTACTGTAACATACATGCTAGGATTTGGTACGTAAGAAACCGTGAGTTGGATCCATTTAAAATCGGCACCTTCTGTGTAAATTCCATGCACTAAACGTTGTACATTGAAATGCTTTCTGTGCAGTGCAGTGTGTATACATCTTTTTTTTTTTTTTTTTGCCAGTTAGAAAAAAAAGAGTAGTCTTGTGCGGGTTTCAGTAACTTTTTGTCATCTGATTTATTTGATATGCAGGCTGATGTAGTAATTTATACGAAGGAGTCTTTTATTCGACCGGTAGCTCAGGTCAGAGAAAGGACCGTTGCTGTGACTACGTTGTGATGCCTGTGAAGAATATTTGGCATTAAGTAACAAGCAGTATCAGCTCATGGATAGGTACCCTCTGGATGTTTAAGCCAGGAAATGCCACTGTTGGCAAGACAAGATTACAAACAATGAAATATTGGAAAGAATAGGTATGCCACTGTTGGCAAGACAAGATTACAAACACTGAAATATTAGAAAGAGTAGGTATGCCACTGTTGGCAAGACAAGATTACAAAAACTGAAATATTGGAAAGAGTAGGTATGCCACTGTTGGCAAGATAAGATTACAAACACTGAAATATTGGAAAGAATAGGTATGCCACTGTTGACAAGACAGGATTACAAACACTGAAATATTAGAAAGAGTTGACATCACAACATCTTCTGATTGCTAGATACACTTGGAGAACTGAGGATGGTAGAGTCCTTTATGACATCCTCTGAATTACAGATGGGTGAAGATGTCAAGGTCAGCCTCTGCTATGATATGAAGGTGCATGCATGTGGGGCATGAATGTTACAGGTTTTGAGGAGGACATGGTACCGTGTTATAGGGAGGGGGCCAGTCAGAAAGGTAATAGTAAAGTAGAAAATCATTGCAGATATGTTGAGATATGTTGAGGAAAGATATAAAACCGAACGAAAAGTATATCAGCGAGCTTCACTATACAACAAACACAAACAAAACCTGAGAGCCTTCTTCAGCACACACATAGAATAGACAATACTACGCAAATACACAATATCACTTATCTTTTATCTCCTGGTGGTAGCCAGGTCGTTGTCAAGACACAAGTCTCAGATGTGTTGAGAGCTGTGCGTCTGAGAACAAACATGCCACATACATGCGAGGGCAACAATTGTCCTGAAATGCCATGTTCAGATTGTGGTCAGTGGTTCTTAACATCAGCAGGTCATGTAGTCACACTGGCCTGTGATTCCTATGCTGCCCTGTATAAATAAAACAGCATTGTCTGGACAGTTGGAAAGGTTCCAGTGGATTGGACCATGAGTACTCTGCCTGCGGAAGTCACGCCAGGAACTAAAGCGGTAACTTGGTTGAGGACAAACTTTTCACTGAAATGGTCAGAAAGATTTAGATGAACTTTGTTCTGGTTGGAGTCTGTGAGGAGATTAGGGCTGCCTGAAGTCAGTTTAATTTTTCGGCTAGGTCGTGCATGTGCAAGGAGAAACAAATAGGCAGGCTTGCTGATGTGGATAATGTGGAAAGTCAAGCAATGTGCTCGACTGATATACTGAATGCCATCTAGCATGGCATGTGGATTTCAGTGACAAATGTTGTAGGGTTACCTTTTGAGAGGTTATGGAACACAGATAGAAGAGAAATGTTTACAGAAAAAATGGCTGACACCTAGACAGCTCACAGTTTGTGATAAGGCAACAAGCACAGCAAAATTGAAAACATATGTTTACCTAGCAGAATTAACTTGTGGGATGGTATACACCTGCGTACAGCTAGCCAACTGTGTGGATAGATTATTTACGATTTGATGAGCTCTTGGGGAGACTGAGTACCTTTCGGTTATTTCTGTAGTGCGACAGGCTTCGGTTTTGCTAACCACTTGTTTAATTTACTCTATAGCTCTTGTAAGGTAAGTTTATGTGTAGGGGTTTTCATTAAAAAAAAAATATGTGTAGTTATTTTCATGCTGGTTGTGGTGGCTGCTCTTTCAGAAGATTTTGGAACCTCCGACAACAAGTTGGATCAGATCTCAAGTTCATTTTGTTTGTGTTTTTATTTCAGTAGCTGTTGGACTGACGCATCCACAGCTGTAGACATACTACGTAAGAATACAGAGAGCATGTTTGGGTTTCTCCAGTTCGGCTGACTATAAACAAAGTTGTCATGAGATATTTGAGCAATTTAATTATTCTTGCACCTGTTGCCCATGCAGTATATTAAATGTTGTGGTGTCTCATGTTGTATTCTGTTGTGGCGCTTTGAGAGCATCAAGATAATCAAATGATATTCCAGGCTGTCATTGTTTACAAAGTACATCAATTTAACTGAATGTTGCTTGTTCTTTAACGTTTGAGTTTTTTTGTTTTTTTTTGGCAGTGCATGTATGGTAGTCAATATTGTGTATACTTGCTTATAAGCAGACCCTCTTGAGTTACATTTGAACAAATTTGCTTGCAGGCTTATTTTAGTATGCATGGTTGTCATTGTTTGTGATTTATATATATCCTTCTGGTTGTAGGTTTTAGTTGTATGAAAAGTTTTGTTTGTGTATGATAAATTTCAGGTCTGGAAACTCTTGAGGAAAAAAGGCCGAAACCTCAGAAATCCCTGGGGGAGGGGGGAAGATCATTTAAAACCGATCACTTTATGCAGGTCACTCCACTCCTATAAAAAAAAAGTAATGTATTTATATAAACAACAATTTTATTTAAAAGAAAAAGAAGTACATCAAGGGAAGTAATCAGTAAAAACACAATTGAAGTGGAGTGGTAAACTACTACTTTTCTTTGGGCCTAACAAACAATTTGTAGGGTGACTCATACAGGGACTCCTACCCCATTGATGTGTGACTGTTAAATGCTAAAGGAATATTATGACATAATCATGATTTTAAAAAAAAATGACTGCAACTGCAGACAGAATAAATGCCATTAACTAGGCTTGTTGGGCGCTGGCAAATGCAGCAGTGTCAGTGTACTGGCTTTTATAAGGATTTGTAATGGATAGTTTGTAGCGGGTAGTGAAGCTGAATTAGTGGCATCTCGGGGTAGCAGGATATAATTGCCAAAATTACATATCTTATTAAACATCTAGAGGGAAATGTTCAAGGCAGGTAAGCAAGACGTACACAAAGAGATAATTCAGTGGGAAATGAAAGGCTTGAGTACAGCAGCTGGAACGGCAGACTTGGAAAAGATAGCGTTAAAATTGTCATTGGTATAAAGAAATATCCCTATGATGAGACATACCTAAATTACCAGCTTAACCCTGTCTCCTTGTTAAAAATCTTGAAGAAAAAAAACAAAAACTTTTTCAGAATGTTATTAAAAAGAAAACACATCCTTATTATTCTCTGGGAAACGGTACCCTTGGAAAATAAAGAATGAGAAGCAGAAGAAATTTGCAGTCTTGGGCCCTTTATTTTGTTTTTTAAATAAACATCCAGTCAGTCGAACCCCTAGACCACCGAGAAGATAGACTAGCGTGAAGTCCACAGCTTCAATAAGCCATGAAATTACTTAAAATAATTAAACTTTTTTTTTTAAATGAACTTTTTTATGTGAATTTTTTTTAAGTAAGTAAAAAAATTCCACTAATTTCAGATGTAGCATAGAATTAACTGTTGTATCCCTTCGACGATGAAAGAAGGGGTTTTGTTAACTTAGCCTAGGTGAGCATAATGACATCATTTGAGATTATTGTAATTATAATAGTGTAACAGTGACATCACAGTTACCTGCTAATTTTTAAAAATCTAATAACTGTTGTTGGGTATGAATAGTGTCACCCACCATTTCTACACACTTTGCAGTTACAGCCAGTACCAGAAGCTGTGAAATGTGTGCAGTGGCTGCTGCCTCCAAAGTCTTCATATCATTAAAATCCCATAAATATAGGAGAAATGGCTTTCTCCGAGTGACAGGAATAAAGGATTAGGAATTTGAGATGTTATTGAAAATTTGCATCTGTTCTTCGTTGTTGTATGGTAAATTGTATTTGAATGTGCAGAGGCTAACTACATTACCATGTTTACCAAATGCACCTTACAAATGGCATTCAGACCTAACATGTAGATAATATTATTACCATGCACTAATTGGCACTCATAGAAATAAATAGAAATAGGTCACACTTTTTAATACCTGATTGGAGGTCACAATGTTCTTTAACCTGTTTACACCTGATAGAAGGTCACAATAAACCAGTGTTCTTTAACCTGTGTACACTGGATAGAAGGTCACACTAGACCAGTTTTCTTTAACCTGTGTACACCTGATAGAAAGTCACACTAGACCAGTGTTCTTTAACCTGCGTACATCTGGTAGTAGGTCACACTAGACCAGTGTTCTTTAACCTGCATACACCTGATAGGAGGTCCCACTAGACCAATATTATTTAACCTGTTTACACCTGATAGAAGGTCACACTAGACCAGTGTTCTTTAACCTGCGCACACCTGATAGGAGGTCCCACTAGACCAATATTATTTAACCTGTTACACCTGATAGAAGGTCACACTAAACCAGTGTTCTTTAACCTGCGCACACCTGATAGGAGGTCCCACTAGACCAATATTATTTAACCTGTTACACCTGATAGAAGGTCACACTAGACCAGTGTTCTTTAACATGTTTACACCTGATAGAAGGTCACACTAGACCAGTGTTCTTTAACCTGCGTACATCTGGTAGGAGGTCACACTAAACCAGTGTTCTTTAACCTGCGTACACCTGATAGGAGGTCCCACTAGACCAATATTATTTAACCTGTTTACACCTGATAGAAGGTCACACTAGACCAGTGTTCTTTAACCTGTTTACACCTGATAGAAGGTCGCACTAGACCATTGTTCTTTAACATGTTTACACCTGATAGAAGGTCACACTAGACCAGTGTTCTTCAAATGTTTACACCTGATAGAAGGTCACACTAGACCAGTGTTCTTACTACATGTTTACACCTGATAGAAGGTCACTAGACCAGTGTTCTTTAACATGTTTACATCTGGTAGGAGTTCACACCAGACCAATGTTCTTTAATCTGTTTACACCTGATAGAAGGTCGCACTAGACCCGTGTTCTTTTACCTGTTTACAACTGATAGAAGGTCACACTAGACCAGTGTTTTTAACCTGTGTACACTTAATAGAAGGTCACACTAGACCAGTGTTCTTTAACCTTTTACGCCTGATAGAAGGTCACACTAGACCAGTGTTCTTTAACCGGTTTACACCTGATAGAAGGTCACACTAGACCAGTGTTCTTTAACCTGTTTGCACCTGATAGAAGGACACACTAGACCATTGTTCTTTAACATTTTCACAAATGCAGTAACATTTGTGTGGCCTCAAGGGTTCCTTAGCTGTTGAACCTAATGTAGGACTGTTTGTGTGGCCTCAAGGGTTCCTTAGCTGTTGAACCTAATGTAGGACTGTTTGTGTGGCCTCAAGGGTTCCTTAGCTGTTGAACCTAATGTAGGACTGTTTGTGTGGCCTTAAGGGTTCCTTAGCTGTTGAACCTAATGTAGGACTGTTTGTGTGGACTTAAGGGTTCCTTAGCTGTTGAACCTAATGTAGGACTGTTTGTGTGGCTTCAAGGGTTCCTTAGCTGTTGAACCTAATGTAGGACTGTTTGTGTGGACTTAAGGGTTCCTTAGCTGTTGAACCTAATGTAGGACTGTTTGTGTGGCTTCAAGGGTTCCTTAGCTGTTGGACCTAATGTAGGACTGTTTGTGTGGACTTAAGGGTTCCTTAGCTGTTGAACCTAATGTAGGACTGTTTGTGTGGCCTTAAGGGTTACTCAGCTTTTAGACCTAAAGCAATACTCTTTCTGTTACAGCGGATGGACATGGGAGAGTGTCCGAGCATACACGATCCTGCCCTACGTGCAGACTATGAATTGGCATCGAAGACAAGAGACTACTATTATGATATTGATGTAAGTGCTGTCAGTGTGGTCACATAGAAAAGTCAGTTTCATATCTTTTACACTGAATGTTGCAAAACCAACCCCAGCATTTGTTGGCTGGTTGCTTTTGCTATTCAGTTCAGATTCAGTACTTTACGACTGCTTTCTGAATGCTCAGCGCTCAGTACCATTGTTGAAATGGTGTTTCCCTCTAGACAATTGCAGTCCCCTACTGACAGGTTCTGTCTCCCTGAATATTGGACCCTCGTAGTCAAAACATTGCAAACACAATGTACTGGTCAAGGCTAAAATTTCTATCAGTCGTCATGCACAACCACAATGCCCTCTACTGTTATGAAAAACACAGAATATCCTGCATTGGAAATGCACACAAAATAACAGTGCAAGACAAGAGAAGACTTCGATGTGAAGACAAATTACAGATAGTGAACACTAACACTGCTACTCATCGCCATCTTTGGCCAAATATGAAAATAAGGATAGCCCAAACCTCAGTAATGAGACTGCCGCAAGTTGCACTTGGCTGCACTTGGAGCATTTTCAAAGATGTTCAGTTGTCCTCAGTAGTTGTTGACTTGATACTGTATACACTCAAATTGTCAGTTTGCTATGTAAATTTTGGGACCTGCTGTGGTATCACCAGTAGACACTCCTGTGGAGATCTAGAGAAGCTGTTGAAAAGGGTCCTTTAGTTTACTATATGTAGAACAGTTTGTATCAGATGTGTGTTGCCTCATTGTATCCACTTCGGGGCGGGTATTTTTTTCTCTTTAACCTGAGCAATCAAGCTGACACAGCCTAAACAATAGCTGTAGGAAATTTTCTGGGAAACAAAGGTGACCATTGAGTGTTGATTGGTCTGAAACTGTTGACATTAGTAGCTAGGTACAGCTTGTGGAAAGGGTCCTTTGCTGACTTTACATTTATAATAAGAGTTGACGGTTTGCGTATACTATACAATTTATCATGTTTATATATTGCTACTTGACTTAAAATTCAGAGAAATAGGAAAAAAAAATAATTTAAAAAAAATAAAATCAAGAAGTTATTGATTGTTTTAAAATTTGCCTCCACTAGGCTGAAAGCACTGCATTCATGAATGGTTGTAAGTAATGTGTAGACTTCCTTGTTCATTAAAAGAACTGACATTGATTGCAAATCAGGTAAAGTAGAATGCTCTATCACTCTTGACCGATGTTAGGATGCCAATACTGATTGATACCCAGGTGGTTAGTGTGCCTCTCATCGTTTTTTTTTAGATGATCTAGTTGAAGCAGTTAATTTTCTTCTTCTTCTTCTTTGTTCACCTTTGATAGGGTAGTTGACTATTTTATGTTGTGGTTTACAGCTAAGTTGTGATATCTGCGCCTTTTGTTGAACACATCTGATTTCAGCCAACTCCTAATTAGTTAGCTACTACAACATGCTTATTGGTGGGAAGTGGGTCTGTCACCCCACACAGAAACTTTGTGGAAGCAGTTCACACTTTTTTCAATTAGATGTTAATCAGGTGGAGAGTTACCTTTGAAGGAGCACAACTTTATTGTGGATAGTCTTCCATCTTGATCCATGTTCAGTGTTCTCACATTTATGAATTTGATGGTGACATTACTTCTCTTTCCTCTTTCTCAGGCACTGTTTCCATAATGAACTTCGGCTCTACTCCGAACTTCTACCCCCGCGGTAATCCGGACTGAACTATCCGTTCGGTGCCTAGTCCGATTAAAAATACGGCTTTGTCGGAGTTCCCGCCGAGGAACAAATTGCCGCAAAACTAGCAGTACCTTACAATGTCACGAGACGCAACATTGCAGACGATAGTAGCAGACGATAAAAGCGAGCAGTGACAATGTCGAGCGTTTTCTGCACACGATACTAGCAGACGATAAAAAAAGCAAGCGTTAACAATTTCGAGACATTACAGGCGATAGACCGCGCGCTCCCTCGCAGATTAGCAATACTGTTCTTCTGATTGAGAATTTAGCAGCGGTAGATGTCAGACGTCGGCCGGCTGTGGCTTAGGCGTTACGAACGCGCTTTGTAATGCCGGGGTGCCGGGTTCGATCTCAGCTGCGGGCCTTGCGTTGGTTTCGACAGTGGTATCGAGAAGCCGACCGTCCAAAAAGCAGTGGCAAACTACTGGACGTAAACTTGCCTAGAAAAACCACAACAGCCAAAAAATGCTGGGGTTGGTTCTGCAACGTCCTGTAAAGGATACGCAACTAATAAAAAAAAAAGATGTCTGACTTGTCAGCATACGCAAAACGTGATTAAACACACCACCGAGTGTATCCCCCGCGCCGCTACGCGCGGCGCGGATGGGGGGCTAAACTAGGTGCCTGGGACTCACGAGCAAAGTAACTGGAGGAAGTTGCAGGAGATTCGGTAGCTGCCGCTTGTGAGTCCCAGCCATCTAGTTTTGCGGGGGATACGGTCGGCGGTGAGGCATAGCCACAGACACAGGTCCGCAAGTAACATATCGCTGAGAGCCTGTTAAAGCATTTGTGTCGTTTGTCCGAGCCGATCCTAGATTTGTCGCGATTTGTTCGTCGTCGGCAGACAATGCGACAATGGAAAGTGTCAACGGTCGCTATTTTCGTCATCTGCTACTATCGTCTGCAGTGTTGCGTCTCTTAGAATTGTCAGGTAATCAGAAACAATAAGAAACAGGTCCGCAAGTAACATATCGCTGAGACCCTGTTAGATGATTTGTTTCGTTATACGGAGCCGGCGTATTTTTAATTGGACTACGCACCGAACGGATATTTCAGGCCACAATACCGCGGGGGTAGAAGTTCGGAGGAGAGCCTGAACTTCTGCAGTAATATAATCTCCAACATTCTTTCTGTCACTATGGGTATACACTCTTTTAAAGAGTCCATTTGGTGATTTTATCTTCCCACTTGTATTACTGTCTGCCTCTTGCTGACCTTCTTTTGTTTTGTCTTTTAACCATGAAACATTTCACTTGCATCTTGTCCAGGAAAGTATAGCCATTTGAGTTGTTGTAAGTTGATGACTTGTGTGTATCTGTGCTCAGTTGTAGAACTGCATGAAGCATCACATTGTTTTTGTAGGCCATGGAGCATCTTCTGAGTTTTATCACAGACTGTGACCGCAAGACAGTGATTGCCAAACGTCGGCTCAAGGAAACACAGGCTGAGCTCAGTGAAGAAGCGAATGCTAAGGTATAGCCAGATGGCAGGTGTAGTTTCTATTTTGTTTATTTAAAATTGTTCATCTTTGTTTGCATTTATTTTATAATTTGAGATGTCATCATTGTGTAGCAGGTCTTTTGCAGAATGTCGCTTTCACCATGGTCTTCCTGAAAGAAAATCTCCCACCTGGTGCACTTTCATACCCAAGGTGTCACTTATTCCCTGCACCCAGCTTGCCCCTAGTGCTATTTCCAGTCCGCTTTGGTGCTTGACATGACCAGAATATTTCAGTTTCCAAGACTAGATGCTGTTTACAAGCCAGTCTTCCTTGAATTCAAAGATCTTTGAGCTGCAGAGAAAAATGAAATCATTTGTTATTTTGTTGCCTTTCAACTCCAATTGAGCATGGACCTTATGTAACAGATGCCAAATCTTTTTATGCACATACATACATTGTCTGTCCATCGTTCGAACCTTTCTGTCCGTCTCTCTATGTTTTTTACTTGCTATTCATATTATGTATATTGTTATATAAACATATCATATATAGATACAATACAATTGCCATGTGAAGGATGAGTGTAAGAGCTGATTGTAAGACGGACCTGCATTCATTCATTTGTTTGTACTACTGTCTGATGCTGTGCCTTTGTTGCTGTTATATTATCCTGATCGACTTCTAGTACTACTTGTCCGATGCGCCAGGCATGTAAAGGGCCTTGACTGACATTTGTTTGTGTATGCGTGCAGGCGCAGTGTTTCTATTCTTGACTGCCATAATATGTCCCTGTAACACTAACAGTCCTGATAGGAAGGGGGTCTTAATGTCCTGTGTATATGGTAGTGAGATGACAGAAAAGTAAAAACTGTATACAGGAGGGAGATGAATGGTCGTAGACCATTAGGCAGACCAAGAAGACGATGGAGAGATAATATCTTGACACACCTGCAAACATTTGGTGTTACAACTGGAAAGAGAAGACCAACCAGATTGATGAATGGAGCCAGGTGATATCTGCAGCAATGAACCTCAAGGGCTCGGATTTGCTGAAGAAGAAGATAAAGAAGTATATGGTAGTTATTTAAAAGTTAGTTGTGTATCCTTTACAGGACATTGCAGAACCAGCTCAAGAATTTTTTGGCTGTTGTGGTTTTTGTAGGCAAATTTATGTCCAGCAGTTTGGTATATGGTAGTAGTTTAGCCTTAATGTCCAAATCAGTTAGTATGAAAGAATCTTTTATAGCAAACTTGAAGCTTCTTTAAAACAGTGTGGCCCAACAGTACAGCAAACACAACACAAAGTGCAGCCTAATGAAAGTGATACACGTCATTTGTAACTCCAGAATAGCTGTAACCATTCAAGTAGTCAAATATATATTCTACATATAATCACTTGTCTTGTGGCCATGGATGTGCTCAGATGCAAGGCCTTACCACTTAATTTCTTTGTGTGGGTTGTGGGGCCCTATTGGGGGGGGAGGGGGGGGGAAAGAGGGGAGGGTTGTTAGATCCACTGCCCCTTAACATGCATGTCCTAAAAGGGGACTAATTAAAACTGGCTAAAATCAGACGTGTTGTGGCCAAAGGCACATCTATCGCTTTCTTTAAACCACATCAGGGCATGCCATCCACCCTTTTAAAGTAAAATGCAGAAGAAGACACAGAGGTCAGGCACTAGAAAAGATAGGCTTATAGCAAACTTGATAGCTCTTTGATACAGAAGGGCTTCACACAGCACAGCCTAATGAGCTTGCAGTAACAATGAGCAGCAGTTCTGGCATGTGACTGTTAATATTGGCACATCCGACAGCTGCCTTATGCATTTTTACTTTGCATTTGCAGGCTTCAAGATTTTGCTGGGACTGACACTTTAAAAAAAAAAACTGGTTTTCAAATGGGACAGTGAAGAACATTTTGTGTGAGATCTCCACTGGCACATAAAAATAGCAGTTATGGGGGCCACACCCACATGGCCATCAAGGAAGTTTTCATCCTGCTTTTCCCTGTGTGGGTTCCGGGAAAGGGGGGGGGGGGGGTATTTACCCCACTGCCGCTTAACAGGCCTTTTGTAAAAGGTGACTAATGAAGGTTTTCTGTTGGGCTGAAAGATACAGATATCACACCCTAGCTATAAACGACAACACAGCTTGCCACCACCCTTTTAAAGGTTAATTTAGAAGTTTCACGCCACTTTCATGTTTCACTTGATTTGTTCAGAAAGTATTTACTGCTCCTTAAGAAGCATGTTGTCAAAAGTGACTAATTAAGGTTTTATTTGTCAGTTGTTGTGGGCTGGAAGACGTATAAATGTCACATCCTAGCTGTAAACCACAACACATCGTGCCATCACCCTTTTAACCGTGAATGCAGAAGATGAAGAGCAGGTTGCACATCACTTTCTTGTGTTTCAGTTGTTTTGTATAGAAAGTATTTTCTTGCAGATGTTCAATCTCAGCCTGTCTACCTGAAGATATCTTTATCACTAAGTATCCTTAAAACATATAATTGAGGTATCAATTTGGTAGAGGACAAGATTTCATTATGGTATAGGGCAAGACAAGAATGCTTCTATGACATAGTTAATCTTCATCATTATCATGTGCCATGCTGGTGAGTAGGTGGTCATGATTTGCCATCCCATAAGATTACCAGAATCATGGATCAGGTCATTGCTTTTGTTCTTCTCTCCCCCAATCACTGCAGCCAAGCCATTTATGGATTTATCTCTTTGTCTTCCCCTTACTTTTTTACATCGAGCTTGTCAGTTGTCACCAAGTTTTTCTGTTGATCCCTTCTCATAACATTTTCATCTATTTCGTCTTCTTCTTTGTTCACCGGCTGTATGCTCCTGCTCTTCGTCCATTTGGACTTTGGCTGTTCGCAAGGATCTTTCTGCGTGTGCATCCGTTGTACTGGCTTATTTTTGTACAGTTGGTTGGTCCTAGCCACTCGATCAGATGTACTCTGACTTCGAAGGAAGTCCCCAGTTAGTCGACTTCTACGACATGCTTGTTGGGTAGGCAGTGGGTCTTTTCTTGTTTTCCCCATAATGGGGCCCTGGAGCCCAAACGGAGAATTTGTTTCCTAATTATGATCAGGTCATTGTTCTTTTCCCAAATGCTGACAGGCAGATCAGATCCATGCACTTGGGGAGCAGATTGGGACACTCATGGCCAAAGCTGAGGAAATTGGCGCCGCTGGAGAGGTTGAGCAGTCCATGAAGATGATGGAAGAAGTGGAAGAGCTCAAAGTTAAAAAGTCTCAAGCTGAGGTATGTATCTAACTTTGGTTTGCTTCCTTCAGTCACTTTGTTAGCTTAGAAGAGCTGCCGGTGTACCAAGAGGAGAAACCATTTTTTATGATGTAACAAGAGGAGAAACCATTTTTAATGATGTAACAAGAGGAGAAGCCATTTTTAATGATGTAACAAGAGGAGAAACCATTTTTAATGAAGAAATTAAAAAATGACTAAGACTAAAACCAGTGATGCAGTTTTGTTAAAGAACAACGGATGAAATGGTTTGGCCATCTGATGAGAATTGTCTGGTACCAGCTGCTGCAGACAACCACGCAGGAGAAACCAAATAAGCACACAATTCGGGGAAGACCATGCAGATTGTGCAGGATGTCTCTTGTACATCTCAGAATAGTGATTCTGTCGTACTGTTAAACTCCTTCTGCTCTGTGCTGACACGATTTTGTTATTGTGTGCAGGCTTTTAGTAAATGTAAATGAAAACATTAATGCTGCAGACTCAAGGAGTAAGAACATCTTCCAGAGGCCTTCAGACCAGCTAACTGTGAGCTGCTTTCAGAGCATTTCCGTTGGTAGCAGAACAAGCAGCCACACATACAGTGTTCATTTACCCTCCATGAACATGCTTCAGAAAATCACCACAAGCAGCCCCTGCTCTGAATGGTTAGAAAGAAATGGGAAGTCGCACTTAACCTCCCTCACCTGGATCTACACATGTGGGCATGCCAAATTAAAAGATAATAAACTAGTGGACCAGCTGGTAAGTATTGCACCACTGCATCCAGAAAATGTCTATACAAAACAGATGTTTTCACAGCGTTATACATGTAGTAATGAATCTCTGACACAAACAGTTGCATGATCTCACAGTAAAGCCGGGTGAATCACGCTGGTGCTGTCTTTGAGGTCAAAATGAGAGACATTCTTCTTCAAAGTCTCAGGGAAAAAAATCAGTATATGTACTTTGGGGTAGCTGCTGAAACAGAGACCTTCATGTTCATGTGAATGTCCAGCATGCAGTGTCCTCAATTGTTAGGACATAACAATATATGAAGTCCTGTGTAGTTACTGCTCTCATAAATCTGAGACCAGCATATTTCCTCAATGTTGTGATGGCTTGTAGCCCGCCTACTTCAAATCGTAGGTGTGTTTGTATCATTCTCCAGAAGTAGTTGAGGAAACCAATGCTTGACTTGTATTTCTCCAGGTGGAGCTGAGGAGCACAATGCCTGCCTCCACGTACCAGCAACAAAAGCTGCGAGTCTGTGAAGTGTGTGGAGCCTACCTTGGCATCCATGATAATGATCGTCGTTTGGCTGATCACTTTGGGGGCAAATTACACTTAGGCTTCATCACCATCAGAGAGAAACTGGAACATCTGAGGGTGGGTGTTGTCTTTCACTTAGTTGATTCTCAGTTAGGAACTAAAAACTAACCTGGTTAATTTACCTAGTTAATTTCTAGACATGCAACAGATGAAATACTGCTTCTCCAGCCTTCTCACATACAAGGACTGTTGGCATATTTTGTTATGGTTTACAGCTAGGCTGTGATATCGCCTTTCAGCCCAGCACACCAGACTCGTCTCATTTTGCCTAGGAACATCTCCAGAACTGGCATCAGGAATGTTTAAAACAAAAATATATTTGAATTGAGATAGACATCACAGGTGATCTGGGAAATGATATGTAAGATTAGCATTTTAGGATTATGTAAAGCATGATGAAAGAAGCAGACAAAATGTTTCCCTACATAGGTTAACAATGCTGTGCACAGGTTATTACAGAGGAAAATGCACTAAAGTAGTCAGTTCTGAAATAATTTCAAATGCCACCAAAAAACAAAAACTTGAATTTGCTGTAGTGTTGTACACTGTCAGTTGTTCAGTGTCGAGTGAATTAAGGGGTAATTGAACATGAAATGTTAAATCACCAAATATCATTTCTTAAAAATAAAAAATCCAATCCTCATATTCTTATGGAGCCCTGTTTTATTGGGTGTGGGTTGCAGGAGCCTGTTAAGTCAAATTAAACCAGCCTGATTATACTGTGCCGGCACACGGTGGCAAAAATGCAGAATAAGTTTGAAGTGAAAAGGGTTGACTTTATTGACAGCGGTTTATCCCATGTGGCTCAGTCTCCTTCTGCAGCCGCCCGCCAATTGTCTCACAAAGCAGGAGCTGTGCAGCTCCAGCTACAATCCCCAAGGATCTCAACAAATATTACACTCATGCAGTGAAATGAAAGGAATCGATACCCTTTAGAGCACATGGCATAGTTACTTGGCTGTGAAGGACACACATGCATGCACACATGCCACCACCAGGACCCCTCCCCCCCCTTTTCCGCCATGCAATATAACAGTATAAAAAACATATAACAGATAAGATTACAGCTCTTTGAGTATGTATTTGAATCCATTTCTCACTGTCATCCCATTTCAGGCACCAAACAGCTTAGTAAGTGATCACTTAGTTTTCATTGTGATTTTTCATTTGTATTTGCTCCTTGTTGCTGTATGTTTCATTACATTATTTTGGCTTCAGTGAAATGCAGGTTTTGATTTTGATCTGTTTATGAGCTGACTGTTCAATAATTTTGGCCTGGGTAATTTATCACTTAAATTTCCGGGTAATCAAGAGGTGAGCAAAGATGCTGACATTGAGTAGGGCAACATTGAGAAAACTGTATAACTCATGACTAGCATGTTCTTGCACACTGGAACCCACATGGTCCAGGGAATAAAGGCAGAAACACTTCCCCCCTCCCCCCTCCTCTCCCCTTTTTCCTTTCCCCACCCCCAAACAAGTTGAGAAGGGAATTTTTCTGTGACAAAAACTGAGGAGCGCATGTGGTGAACATGCATACGATAGCAAATGATGAGCTATTTGAGGAGCTCTGTCTCACGGAGGGATAAAGGGCAGGGGAAGACAAAAAAAACACACACAGTTCAGCTGGAGCTGGAGGTTGTGATGCCCGCATCTGACTTGAGCTGACCCAGGTTAATTCTAGGTGTGCAGTGTGTGGGTGTTTACAGCCGACAAATGTGTGGGTTATTGGTTCTATGTCAGGCAGAGTTGTTTTGTTGGGTGGTTTGCTTGTTGTCCTATTGTCTCGTTCTTTTCTTTTTTTTTCCAGTTATTCTAAACTATTTTTGGAAATAAAAATTCTGCTCATTTTTACTAAAATCTTTTATGTTTAATCAATCATGTAAAGCATTAATTGTATCATTTGATTAGTGTTAAGAAGTCACTTTCCTCCTGTTAAGAAGACGTTTCTATACAGAAGTGTCTCCTTTATTCTCCTGGGTCTCTCTCTCGTACTTGCTTCCACTCGTACTCATTCGACCCAAATCATTGTCTAGGGGTCACTAATGTAGACCACACTACTCCAAATGACAGTCGATGATGATGATGATCAGTTCCATGTTTATTCCATGGAATATACAACAAGAATCAATATTACAATCTCCCTGTGTGGGTTCCGGGACACTATTAGAAGGTGGGGGGAGAATAGACCCACGAACGAACGAACGAACAAACTTTATTTTCAAAGGGTTACAAATTAGACACGCAGGCCTGTCTTACATTCGGCCCTTCCAAACTTCCATCTTTCACACAGCAGTTGTATTTCATCACCACTGTCTACCCAAAAGCATGTCGTAGGAGTTGACTAATTGGGAGCTTCCTTCAAAGTCAGAGTACATCTGCCTGAGAGGCAAGGAACCAGCAGTCTGCATTCAAATGAGTCAGATCTGTAAAACGTATGCACATGCAACACTCAGGTTCTGGAACATGACTGCAGTCTTAAAGTGGACGAACAACCAGAACTTTCCGCCGGAGTTTACGGCTGGTGAACGCAAAGAAGACTTTCCCAGTTCTATCAATCAGCCATTTCCACATGACCCATGATTCTCACATTAGTGACTTCCCCAATTCTGTCACTCAGTCATACCCTGATGTTATCTCTATTTATAGCATCATTACAATTAAAATGTTTTGTTTTTGCCATGGGCCTTCTGTTGTTTCTAGTTTGCATTAGTGAGCTGCTACTTTGGAATTTAACAAGATAAGATACTTAAAAAGATAGGATATTGTTACTGATAAATGAATTGTTGAGCCTTCACATATCTAGGTCATGACATAGCAAGGTAGGGTGATCAGTTCCCAGTTTTAGGGTGGTGAGTTCCTATCTTTGAACCACAGTTTAGACTGTGGTACAACCGTATCTTTGTTTTATTGTTTCCTCCGCTTTTGGTTATGGGCAACTTCAGATGTGCATTATTAAGAAGAAAGTTATATATATTTTTTTTTTCTAATCATCTCATCCAGATTCTGAAGATTTGTTCGAACCCATTTCTTATGTTATGTGCTTTAGCCAGTCGGAGCCCTGTTAAGCATCTGAAAAGTGTGTACTTAACGCTGTCTTAACCTTTTCTCACCTTAAAAATATCTTTTTTTTAAAAAAAACTTTTCAAAGTTTCTGTAAAGAGAAACACATTGTAGTACTTCTGTGACACCCTACCCTAGGAAACTAGAAGGAGAGAAGTAAAAGTTTAAAAAAAAAAAATTGGAGTCCTAGGTGAGACCCCTAGACAACTGAGCAGACAAACAAGCAAGCGTGAAGTCAACAACAACTATCAGATCACTCAAATAATTCATATTAATTTCATGTTTTCACTTTTCTTTACTGTGTGAAAAACAATTTTTTTCACATAGGAAAATTAATCACTAAATTCAAATGGAGCATAGAATTAGTTTCCCTTCCCTTTAACCATGAAACCAGTTTTGACTGACTGACTGACTTTCTACCCTACCAGAACATCACACAAGCGATAAACACCCGATGACACAAAGTGCCACCATGCGGATGAGGATCACCGTGGAGAGGTCCCAGAAACCGCATTCAGACAATTGGCCATATTTATGGCCTGCCTATATTGCGGCCCCTGGCAAAAGCCAGAGTGGGGCTTTAAATAACAAAAAAATTACTTCCTAAAAAGGACTAAAGGATAATA